GAGAAGTATCTATAAATTAGTATTTTAGCCAGTCTTTGGTATGTAAATCCCTTTGAAGAAATACAGAAGAATTATTATCCTTTTCATCTAAAGTATAAAACTTTTCATACATAGCACAAGTTTCAGAAGAACCTAAGGAAAGCAAAAGGACCACAGATTTCTAACTTGGAAAGGTTTGATGAAGTCAGATTTTGCCACGCACCGTGCCCCCGTGTCTGCGCTCTGTACGATAGCACCCAGTTCGCGAGCTTCGGGCAAGGGAGCTGGAGGTTAAAATACATAGACACACACAGATAGAGAGACAGCGACACGGGTCATCGTTGAATTCCCCAAGAATGCCCCCTTTATTGTGTTCAGGGGCAGATTACATAGAGATAGCCACGCCCCAGCCAAACCCACCAGAAACCACTCTCCTGTCATCAGGAACTCCTGAAGGACTCCTGCTCAGAGCAGCTGAAGGCACTCAGATCAGGGGATTACAAGAAATTCAGGATCTGGGGGCTCACTACTCCCAACAAGATTTCAAAAGAAAGTCTTCTTAAAATGAGAGTTAATATCATAAGGGGGCGCAGAACAATTGAAGGAAGTCAGCATTATGCCGCTTGTAGAAAGAGACTATCAGATTCCCGTATGCATGTCAGTACCAAAGCATTAGGAATCTAGGGTGGCTTCTGTGAGGTGAGGGAGTCTTCTGAGGTGTAGAATGAGCGGGGGTGAACCTGCAGAGCAACTGTCTGTCAACTGGTTTCAGGCTCTCTCTTGTCTAAATTAGACAGAAGAACACATCAATGTTTTATAATTATTAATTACTAATCTGTCCTTGTAGATTATTTTGAGAAACTGACAAATTAATCTGCAGCAAATAGCTGTCCAAAAGTAGAAGTTTTGTCCTGTAGAGACCTTCACTGGGGATCCTATGAGCATGGTGACCTCAAACTGGAAAGTCAACACGGGGAAGAGTGTTACAAAGAGTGTCATACACCAGCACGAGCTGCTGGTTACTGCGTGAAGCAGTTTTCCAGGTAAAACTGTTTTAAAGTAAAAATTACTCAACTATATCCATAGAAAGATGCCTGAACTCTATGTGAAAGGTATCATTTGTGTCAGTTTGTGCGTGTGTGTGTGTTTATATATGCTTGGTGTATGAATGTGTGTGTGTATGTTGTGTGTGAATGTGTGTATGTGTATGCATATATGTGTGTGTATGAGTGCATGTGTGTATGTGTGTGCATGTATGCATGTGTATGCATGTACATGAATGTGTCTATATGTGTATGTATGTGCATGAATATGTATGTATGTATTTGTGATGTATGTGTGTGTGGCACTGTATGCACACATATTCATGCAACTGCACATACATGTACCTATACACATGTTTGGAGGCCAGAGATTGACAGTGAGTATCTTTCTTCAATTCTTCTTTTGAGGAAGACTCTATCAGTGAACCAGAAGCTCATGAATTTGCAAAGGCTAGCTGGTCAAAGACCTTCAGGAATTCTCCTGCTCCCTTTCTTCCCTCCCTGCAAGTTTGGGGCTAATGGAAACACATTGCCACTCCCAACAGTTTACCTGGTTTCTACATCTCCAAACTCAGGTGTTCATCAGGTGTTCATCAGGTGTTCATCAGGTGTTCATGCCTCCAGTACAAGCCTTTTCCCACACACGGCATCTCTCCTGTTGATGCATTTTAATTTTAACTATGCATTTTTTATGTTTTAAAAGTTGTTTTTAAGATTATAGTTATATAATCTTCCCCTTCCCTTTATTCCATCCAAATGCTCCCACGTATCCACCTCCCATTTCTGTCTTTCAAATATATGGACTCTCTTTCATTTTGGGGGGGTGTTCCTAAATGTAACATGCTTGCATGTTTAGTTTGTATAATGCTACTTGTATGCATATGTTTTCAAAACTGACCATTTGGCATCATTTTCCTAGAGAAGACTGCTTCAAAGTCCACTCTCAGCATTTCTTTTTTTTTAATTATTTATTTATTTATTAAAGATTTCTGTCTCTTCCCCACCGCCGCCTCCCCTTTCCCTCCCCCTCCCCCAATCAAGTCCCCCTCCCTCGTCAGCCCAAAAAGCAATCAGGGTTCTCTGCCCTGTGGGAAGTCCAAGGACCACCCACCTCCATCCAGGTCTAGTAAGGTGAGCATCCACGAAACTGCCTAGGCTCCCACGAAACCAATAGGTCCAGTAGAATCAAAAACCCGTTGCCATTGTTCTTGAGGTCTCAGTAGTCCTCCTTGTCCGCTATGTTCAGCGAGACCAGTTTTGACCCAGGCTTTTTCAGACCCAGGCCAGCTGGCCTTGGTGAGTTCCTGATAGAACATCCCCATTGTCTCAGTGTATGGGTGCACCCCTCGCGGTCCTGAGTTCCTTGCTTGTGCTCTCTCTCCTTCTGCTCCTGATTTGGACCTTGAGATTTCAGTCCGGTGCTCCAATGTGGGTCTCTGTCTCTGTCTCCTTTCATCGCCTGATGAAGTTTAATATTCAGGAGGATGCCTATATGATTTTCTTTGGGTTCTCCTTCTTATTTAGCTTCTCTAAGAACCCGAATTATAGGTTCAATGTCCTTTATTTATGGCTAGAAACCAAATATGAGTGAGAACATCCCATGTTCCTCTTTTTGGGTCTGGCTTACCTCACTCAGGATGGTGTTTTCTATTTCCATCCATTTGCCTGCAAACTTCAAGAAGTCCTTGTTTTTTACTGCTGAGTAGTACTCTAATATGTATATATTCCATACTTTCTTCATCCATTCTTCAATTGAAGGGCATCTAGGTTGTTTCCAGGTTCTGGCTATTACAAACAATCAGCATTTCTTAGTTGCTGGTAGATTTGTGTAGATGAAGCTTCCTCCAGCCCTCTCCCCTGTCCAGGTTAGCATGTCTATTGATGCTTGCTGTTTCTGATCGTGTTTAGGAAGTCATGCTGGTTAGACATTAGGATGTACCTTCTGACATTTCTCGGAGACAAACTCTCACAGCAAATTCCCAGATCTTTCTGCTCTTATAATCTTCTGCAATGATCCCTGAGCTTTAGGAGGAGGCATTGTGGATTTTTTCATTCTTTTTACATTCTTTAATATTTTCAAACCACCTATTCTGAGAGTTCTGCTACATTTGCAGTTTATCTGTATTTTGACCCACAGTATATCTCAAAAAAACACTTTTTGAGGTATTTTTTTTCTTTGTTAGGTTTCAGTTATTTTGTTTGGGAGTAACTGAATCTCTCTGAAACCCTGTCTTGGCCTTTCTATTTGGGATGGTTCCAAGGCACCGAGTCTAGACCACTGGGCAACCGTATCTTCCTGCTGAAACACTCTTTAACATTTTTTTCTAAAGTCCCAATAATCTAGGCTAAAAGGGAAAAGGAAGAGTATTTTATCAAAGCAATTAAAAGCATGTACCAAAATTATAACCCTGACAGAAAAAGGCATATATGCATTTTTAATAATAAGGAGAATTACCTAATAATATATTTGACTTTTGAATCATTTGACATTGGTTGATACGTGCTTTTGTGTTCTTTCTCTAGGATTATCATATACCTAAAATAATTCTCACTTTATTAATGATATTCATGTGATATGCTTAAAATGAGTTAAAGTGTTATTTTTCCTTAATTAATCAGGAATACATTTGTAAACACTTCCCTAAGTTCCACTTGTTAGGAAACCACTTGGGGGAATAAGCATCAAATTTTCCTTTTCCTACGAAACTGCTAGCACACATTTTAACACCTTTTCGGAGATTATTCTTTGTGTTTTACAATTTTAAAGCAAAGAAAGTAATTAATTTAAATACGATGCAAAGAATACATAATTTATTGACTTCTTAAGTCTGAAGTGATTCTATCGCACAGAAGCTGGGCTAATGAGAACACTGAGCAAGCCTTCTCACAGAGAAAAGGAAAAGCGTTCTAAACTGCCACTGCTCCCCCTAGCGGTAGGAAACATCTATGCATGCTTAAGGCATCCTTGAGAGAAAACTTTCAAGGAGAGGTGAATTCGGTATATTTGTTTCACAGAAACTACAAATCCAAATTAAAGTAATAAAAAGGACGGCTTCCATTTAGCTTTTGAACCTTGAGTTATATGAATGCATTCTTTATTGCTTAAATAGTTGTTAAATATCTATAATTTGGGTTTGGTGCAAAGACTGAGAAGTTAATTTTATACCAAATACTGGATAATATAAACCAATTGTCTGTTTTACCAGTCTGGATTTCTTCCTTAGATGTTATCACATGCTTAGTGTTTTTATTTTCTAAAACTATTTTAAAACATTCAATTAAAGGCCAACGCATGCAATTTAGTCTTTACTCAGTTACATTCAATAAACATTCAGCTCAGTGGACGATAATACTATTCATTGGATCTAATATTCTTCCTTATTTGAACTGATTTCCCCCCTTTTGAGCTTTTTTTTTATCTCATTACTATATCCATTTTTTCTATTTCCATTCCTGTTTTAGCATGTGCTATGCAAATTCTCTGCAAGTTTTCAGACAACAAAATGCTTCCTCTGAAGTTTGTGTTACCAGAAAATATATCCAAGTCTTTAAGTCTCCCATGCATAGGGAATCAGTAATTTTGCCCTAAGCTTTTGCTTAAATTTTAGAATTTCTTTTTAAATCATCTTTCCAGATACCAAAATGACAAATTTCTGGAGCGGGGGCATGAGAGAAAACGAGAAAAAATGCCACCAGGGGAGCCTTCTCTGCTGTATATGGCTGTGCCTTTGAGCAACTCTTTCCGTGAGTCAGAAATCCTGAGCAACAGCTGCAATTAGAGAAGATCGTCACTTTCAATCAAGGTTCCTGGGTGGGGGATGAGATGAGGGACAAAGGGAAAGGAGGAGGGAGTGGGGAGAGGGGGGGGATGGAGATGAAGGCAGAGCACATCCTGTACAGCAATGACATCATTCTCCTGCTCTGGTATATATATAGGGAGAGGCCAGAGCATCTTGCATAGTTCTCTCACTTTCAAAGCCAGCTGAAGGCAGGAGAAATCACGAAGAGTGAGTACGAGAGAGCTCCTTCAGTGTCTCTCTGTCTGGACCTGCTTCTCAGAGGCTGAAAGATGATGGCAGGACTGAACATTCAGCTGGTGTGCCTGATGCTTTTGGCTTTCAGCTCCTGGAGTCTGTGCTCAGGTAAGCCCAACTACATCTCCCAACTCCCTAAAGTGATTTCTCTCGCAGTCGGCTGGGGCTCCTGTTAATGAATCCAGGAGTTCCTCTCTCCTCTCTCTAACTGCCTTTCGGTGACAGAAACTGTGTCTGTTACGTTTCTCTCCTGTTCTGACTGTAAGAATTGAAATGTTTATTTCCCTTCTAAGAGTCTCTAAAGCAGTTAATGTGGTACCAAGGAAATGCAATATATTCATTCTCCTTTGGAATATAACCACTAGAGAGAATAGATCAGAGTAATAAACAAAGCTGAAAATTTGCACTAGGGCTGGTCGTTATTGAGAAGAATAGAAGTCATGTTTGTCAGTGTGCAGATATTAAAACACCCCATTCATAATCTATATTCTTATTTTTCTCATTCTATTAGGTGGTGACTTCTCTCATTCACTTCCCTTTGTGATTTTCTTCAGATTATTTGTAACTTTATATCTGTGTTAAGAGATAGGAAATAAATGTCAGTAAATAAACGAATGAGCAAGATTTACAGAATATTATTTCTAGTACAATACGAAATGTTCCAAGTCTTTTCTGAAAGTACATTTCATAGTCTTTCATTGTTACAGAGTTGTGATATTAACATAGCTATTGCTTTACTAAGGTAATTTAGCTAGGCACAAACTGTAGCCATAGAATCAGTACACTTATGTTTCTGATACAATTTAGCTTTAGAGTGCTTTGTATAAAACAGTAAAGGAGAATCAATGTGTTATTATCAGATTTGTAGCAACTCCCTTAGAAATAAGATACATTTAAAAGAACAATGTGAAATATTTTGATGACTGCAGTGTATTTAAATTAGTGAATAGAAATAATTGAACAGACACATCACAGTGGAAAATCTTATGGGGTAATGAAATAAAATCACTTAAGTTATACTTGTAGATATTATAGTTAACAACTAGGGCAGATCAAACTCCTGCTACGGTTTACAAGTACAAAGATAACTCTATCAGCATGGAATGAAGTTTATTTAGAATTCTTTAATTATTTTATTAACATAAAACTCTGTAAATATTTTATGAGTTTTCTGTAAATATGATTTTATCAAATGGTGCATAAATTAGTTATAATTAGAGATTAAAATACCATAGTGATTAAAAATTCTGTATTAACTGAAATCATTTTCTGTGACAAGTGCACATTTTTATCGGTGATTAATACAATTAATTTTATTATTCATTTTGGAAAACAACCAACCATATATTTGTAATAAGCCAAGCAGAAGTGTCTACGGGATAACTCAATTTTTGCATGCACTTTATGAGTTGGTTGCATCAGGTGGGATTCTGTGTTTTAATGACTGCAGAGTGATTTATGAAACAATTTTAAGCCCTCCTTTTTTTTTTTTTAGTATGACACTTGTGGATATGAAACTGCTCTACAACTGTGTAGCCTTTCTAAATTTTGCCTTTCTATACCATGCTCATAAATTGAATTGTGAAAAATGTGTGTTCCAAAATGAATCAGGGATCTGTTTCCAATACTGCTTACCTTGTGTTGACAGAGAGCTCTGTCTTTGCTTAAACCAAGTCCTCACCTGTATAGGATAAAATTGGAAGCACACAATTCAAAGCTCTTATTTAAAACAGAAACTGATCCCTTCAAAGACAATTTTATAAAATGACATTTTCAGTGAAGTGAATCTCGGTATCATTTTTATTCCAAAATTACCAGGGAGTAATTACCAGGAAATAAAAAAAAAAACAACACTTGTATTCATATTTTATTTTGTGGGAACTACTGCTGGTAAGAACGAGACTGGGTGCAGTGTGATCGCTGAGGTCTCTATCACACAGTATAATGAAGTGTTTTACTGCGATTCAGAGATGAAACAACTCCAAATCACGAATACTTTGCTTAGCAAATTATCTTGTGCTCATTTTCTTGGAAGCGATTCTGCTACCGTAGCTGTCAGGAGAAAATGAAGCTGTGATCCATTTCTTTCCGAGTACCGATCTGAAGGAGTTACATGTTGAAGACAATAAATTTCAAAGACTAATTCTTCAAATTAATTTCAAATACGTTGATTTCAATGTAACGACATGATTTGCGATTGCACAGTAAACATGTGGTTTTAACTTTTTTTCAGACTCCGAAGAGGACATGAGAGCCTTAGAAGCAGACTTATTGACAAACATGCATGCGTCCAAGGTAACTTTTTCTTTTCTTTCATCCAGGCTTGAAGGACATGTGAATTTCCACTCTAAACATGATAATATTTTCTCATATTAATCAATATAGATATAGTTACCTACCTCAAAACTGTAAAGATCTTTGGGAGACATTTCCTATTTGAGAAACTATTTTTTTTCTTCTCCATTGCCAGTCTCTCTCTCTCTCTCTCTCTCTCTCTCTCTCTCTCTCTCTCTCTATGTATATATATATTTATATATGTGATATCTTTTATCATCACTGGCATTGAAGTATAGTTTTATTAAAAATAGTATTGGAAGCTAAGTAGATAATTGTAACCAAACTCAAATCCTTATATACAGTAGGAGTTTAATGCATGTTTATGAATAAGTAACTGGGATGCAGGATCTGTTACCAACTCCTGAATTCTTTTATTCAGACATAAATTTTAGAGCTAAATGATACCTGATGACTTTACTTCACTTGCACTTTGGTGACATCCTCAGATTTGCCACCTGATAAATTTATCTCCCATCAGTCAGTCATGGATACCGAGGGTTAATCATAGCTCTTAGAACACACTTAATAATGAAATACACAGTACAAGGACTGTAATTAGTCATTTAGACAGAAAACTTTCTCCAAATATATATGTGTCTCCAGGGTTATCATTTTCTGCAGTTTTATTTCCTGGTAGGAGAGGGGTCACAGTGACATTTTTTACTGTTAGACAGATAAAGAGGTGATGCTGTGTTCCAATGTGTGTAGGGAGAATATTCTATTTATTCTATTCTATCCTATTCAAACTTCTACTAACTCACTTATACATTCTCATGTAAGATCTCAGGATATTTAATTTAATACCCTTTCCATTTCCTTTAATGCTAATATCTTTTTAAAACAGTGGAGGCCTGTACATAGTTTTCACTAAAGCACCACCCCCCAAAAAACAGTTTAAACAGGTTGAATCTATATGAATTTGTGCATACACAAGTATATGAGTATGTTTACAACAATAAAAACAGAAAAACCAAATAGGTCATAAACTTAAGAGTAAGGGAAGACATGGGAAGGGTTTGAGGGAGATGATGAAGCGAAAAAAGAGGGGAGAAGTAAGTAATTCTATTTCAGTTTTAAGTATATCTTTAAAAGAGTTGAGCACAAAAACAGGATTCTAATGAATTAATCTCAGGAAACACTGAAATAGAAAATCTCTAAAGAACTTTCTAAGTATAAAACTGAAATAACGCATTAACTGGTAAGGCACAAGGTACTGCTGAAATTAAAAGGAGAATGTTTCTTCTAGAATACCATACTAACTCAGAACATTACATGCAATGGCTGGATAGCCTTGTTCAAGGCAGGTGGTAGGAGGAATTGCAAGCTTTTTGAAAACAGAGTGAGTATGATACTCATAAATTTTAATGCCTGTGAGTTAAGAGTATTAAAAGCAGGATTCACACATTCACAGTCTTATTGCAAGTAGAACTTAAAATAGAATGGTTTAAGCCAATCAATACATATTCTATACTCCTCTAACAGACTTTAATTGTGACGTCTTTTTTTGTTCACTATTTCAGATCAGTAAACCAAGTCCTCCCTCTTGGAAAATGACCTTGCTAAATGTTTGCAGCCTTATCAATAACGTGAACAGCCCAGCTGAAGAAGCAGCAGGAGAAATGCAGGAAGATGATCTTATTGGAAAAAGGAAACTCCCCATGGTTCTTGATGGCTTTAGCTTGGAAGCAATGCTGACCATATTCCAGCTGCAAAAAATCTGCCACAGCAGGGCCTTCCAACACTGGGAGGTAAAACAGAACCCACGTTGCACTAGTGGGATCTCATTAGCATTCATTCCTATACCCTGATAAAAATCACAGTAGGGAGACTTACAAATCCTAGAAAGTAATGAGTTAAACCATGTTTTGAAGACAACACCCTTCTTAACTTCAAAGTGTCATCCAAATTTTTGGAGATTAATGAACTTTTCTTGCTTTAACCTTAAAAGGGTTATGATATGTCTTAAGAACCCTTAGAACTATGAACGTAAATGGCTGAAACACGGAGGCAGTTCTGCATTAAATTGGCACTAGGGATATATGTCAAGAAATTTAAGTAAATTCACCTGTTTTACCAAAATCAAAAATCGTGTTTAGTTACATATAACCAAACAAAACACAAAAGTTTCAAAGGAAATAGAACAAAAATCGCAGGATTCCAGCTGCAACTTTCAAATTAGAATGTGCATAGAAATTGTTTTTCAGCTTCTGTATTTGATTATTGAACAAGTTAAATATTTCTTAATTTTAAAAATAAGATTATATATATATATATATATTTCACCTTATTTTTAAAATAAATAAATATTTAAGTGGCGGGGGGAGGAACACTGAAAATTTTGGTAATCTACAAATGGCCTTCTCTGCAAACACTTTATTTTTTATTGCCCTGACATGCATGTCACTAAAGCTAAATCAGAGCTCTAAAGAAAGGGGGAAAAGGATACCATTACACTTTTCCAAATGGAGAAACATTTTTTAGATCAAGCCCTGAGAGGTTCGCTTCATGTTTTAAATTGTGGGTTTACACCAACACTGCAGATCTGGGTGCCCTCTCTTAATGTAACAAGCCTGTGCGTGGCTACCACAGAGATGCCCTGTGGAAGACGGGAATGCCTGCAGAGCTGTTGGTGTTTATCTTAACTGGTAAACATAACTATGCTTTCCATATGAAATCCCGAAAAGGCTAGTTCAAATTATCTTGTTGTCTCCTTTCATTTTAATTCCAGCTAAATGGTCCAGTCTTTAGAACACTATTTAGCTCAATAAAACTTGAACATTCAGATCTTAGCAGAGGGAAATACCAATTATGCCATATTTATCCAGAGAAGAAAGACCCTCAATAAACTAATTAGCAGATAAGTCAACTGAACATAAGACTGGAACCCTTGTTATTTTAACTGTTGAGTCATTTCAAAATAAAATGGTACAAGTAATTACAGACTATGCACTTTCAAGAAAGCAAAGATTAAAACCCTCGATTACCTGACAGTAGCTGCTTTACCTTCTCTGAAACTCAATAACTGCAGCTTGAGATAAAATACTTGCTGATAGGACGGCGTTACAATTGAATAGGATGCAGTACAATTAGAATATCAGTATTTGTTGTTGTCACCCCGAAGTTTAGGAGACAGCTGTAATCCGACAAGATCATAGCTGTTGAAACTGAGTTTTCTGCAACTGTTGATTTCTACAACATCTAAGATACTTGGAATGGGCAATTCTTTTTTTCTGTTTAGGAAACTGCTCATTAGAGTGACTTTCAAGTTGTAGCAGTAATCGACTGAAGTCAACATAAAATCCTGTTACCTTCTCTTTCAAATAGCATTGAGCTTCAATACTACATTTATTATGATATATCTTATATCGTTTTGGACTGCCATGATATTCAAAGTCTCAAAACTAATTGGAAGGTGTCTCTGGTATATCCCTTAAGCTAGAAAATGTAAATACATTTTTTAAAGGCTGGTGAACTGAGAAAGGACGTAAATAATCAGAAAGATTATGATCTGATTCCATCTCAGTCATGATAACCATCTGTCCTCTGACGAAGTCGTTTCTCTGAGCCTACAGGTGCATCTTGCTGAAAACAAATAGAGGAAAGTGTAGGGAAATGATCTGGAGTATGTTTCATGCATGTAACTTCCCTTTGTGTTTTCTCTATTTTAGATGATTCAGGAAGATATTCTTGACAATGGCAATGAGAAAACTGAGAAGGAAGAAGTTATCAAGAGAAAAATTCCGTACATTCTGAAAAGGCAGCTGTATGAGAGTAAACCGAGAAGGCCCTACATACTCAAGAGGGGCACCTACTACTACTAAGAAGCTGACTCTTGACACATGATTGTGATTGATCCCTCTTTACCTAGATAGATAATCATGTGGTCACCTAGATACCTAGTTACATGTGTGTGTAAATGTGACAGAACTTGATTATTTCATCTCTGCCACAATTGTGGTCTATTGGATGTTATTTCCCTGCATTCCTGTCAATTAAACTAAATTATTTCAAATAAATGTAGAGCTTCAGCATGATGTGTTCTGTATAATTGGACTAGGTAATAATCATATTACATATAGAACGTCTTGCAATTTTGCAAAATATTTTACAGGATAGCCAAACAGTCATCACATTTGGCATTTTATGTGAAAACATAAGAGATTATAACAAAGTTGAGCACACATCATTAATCCAAGGCAGAACAATGGCACCATTTGGATCATTTGATTGCTTTCATTTTTTAATTGAAAGAAATACACACTGCTTTCCAAAAACCACTGGTTCATCCCTCAGTAAAAAACAAAGTTATCGTCATAAAAGGCCCATCTGATAGAATTGTTAATGAAACACTGTTATTTATGCTTATCTTGGTGAGTGTATCTTTAAATATTCTGCCTTTCAAATGAATTTAATAGCTAATAAATTTCAACAAGCTATCAAAATCTAACGCTCTATTTCAGATTCACTGATTTCATGAAAACTCTCCCCTTTCTTTTACATCTTTAAGCTAGAATATCATGCATGTATATTTAAATGTCACTTAGAGGATCTTGTAATTAATATTGTTCTCTCACTGGGAAGGTATATTTAAGCTAAATGTTCATTTCCCTGACATCTGTGACTTTCTAAATTATTTCCCTTACTGGGTCCAGGAAGTCATGCTTTTATAGGACTGTGGTCTTTCCATTGTTACCCCATGTAGCTAAGTCATCTTTAAAAAGACTTAGTCTTTTGTTTTGTTTTGTTTTGTTTTTTAATGAGATTATCTTTCTCCAAGCTTAATACTACTCAGAGCAGGATTGGAGACAGCTTTACAGGTGGAGGAGCTTTCTTTAACGAATTCTGACTTTTGTTACTACTTCTTCACATTCCTTGGGAAGTCTGTAAATAATAGCATTTAAAATGTTCACAGAACCAACCAAGATAGCAAACATGGTCATGGAGGTTAAGAGGGTGCTCTCAAACTCAGAACATCAAGATTATACTTAATTTGCTTACTAGCAAAGGTGGGCAATTGTGGGTCTTTTGTTTCATTGACTGACCGTAAAAAAAAAAGGCTAAGAGGATGGGTAGAGAGGCAGAGAAAAGGTGAAACATGCTGACTATACTACATGGTATAACCTATATTACATAACACATAGGATTGTTGTAAAACACATTAAGAATACACTATATCCAACAGTTAATACTTGCAGTGGTACTAATTTTCTCTTGATGTATCTTCTTGATATATTATTGTACTATCATTAGTAGAGATCCCATTTTCCTCCTAACAAATCTTCTCACTTATTTTATTAGCCACCAAAGTCAATATCATGTCATTTTGAATTCTCTGAGTCATTTTTACTGATTTTCTCTAAAAATCAAGGTCGTTATTTCAATTGTTAACTAAAATTTTCTTTATACTCGATAGCATAGAGTGAAGACAAGAGATACATATTCCAATCACATCCTTACAATTTTCTTTCCATTTAAGACCTACAGGTTGTTCCAAATATAAGGTATATAGGATGAAAAAGTAGAAAATTATGATGAAAAAATACTGAAAAATAAGTAAGTGAGTATACCATATTTAAGGTATTGAAGGCTCATTACCAAGATGTCATTCTTTCCAAACCTGATTTACCAACTCAGTGCAATCTCTAAAACCTCCCAGTGACATATTTAGTGGTTATAAACAAATGATTAGAAACTTTATAAAGACAGAATATTCAGACTAATAAAATACTACCAAACCACTTGACCTAGAGTTCTGACACCATCCTATTTCAAAGCTTACCTTAGAGTGATGTTAACCACAGAAGTGTAGTTATTTTTTTAAAAAAAGAGTATAGTAATAAATCAATTAAACACTTTAGAATGCTGAGGTAGATCCATATAAACTTGGATCCATATAAACATGAAATCTTAAAGAAAGGAACAAAGGTAATTCAATAGAAAAATATCTTTCCAACAAATATGACCACAATAACTAGACAGGCACATGCAATTAAATCTAAACAGAAACCCTATACACTTAAAGACTACTTCAATATGAATCACAGACCAAAATATAACACACAAAACTCTAACATTTATAGCACTGGAAAAATGTAAACTTCTTTAGTTTGGCAATAAATGTTTAGCTACATTATCAAAGGAATGAAAATTCCAGTGGCATTTGTAAATAGAATTTTACAAAATCTTGAAAACCACATGGAAACAGGAAAGTGAGTAAATAGAACTAACGGCTTAAAAAAAAAAAAAAAGAACAAACGAGCAATTCATGAAAAAAAAAAGAGTCAACGTCTTTAACCAGAAAAGTGGCTTGGGGGGTTGTGTATCTTGGAACTGTTCTTCTGATCTAGAAGTGGTAGTATTTTTCCTGTTCTGCCTATGTACCTCTCATGGCTCCACAGGGTCTGAAGGTCCATGAGTGGCTAGTAGGGTAGTGTTGGAAGATGTTGCTGGCTGGTCAGAGGTAGCTGCCTCCCTATGGTATAGCAGCTTATCTCAATAAGCAAAGCTTCCCACTCTCTACCTACCCTTATCTGGAGGGTCCCTGGACCTGGAGGACTAACCTTATCTAAAGGCTGTTTCTAAAGAAGATGCCTGATCCATCTTTAGCTTGACCCTTGGCACAGATCCCTGATAAGAAGACTTGTGTTGGGGGGATCTGCTATAGGACCCTACTGCAGCTTACAAAAACTTGTGATTGGAGAATGCCACTTAGTGCAGATTAGGGTTTGCCCCCAGGCTCCCCAATTTATATATTCCTTTTACCCTGGAATAAAATCTAGCCAATTCACCGAAATTTGTGTCCAGGAGAGCTGTCTCCGTTTAGACTCCCTGGCCGCCAATGCTTCCTGTCACCCCATATGCCTCTTTGCCCTCTTGATGTGGTAGCCAATAGACTGAGGGGGGAAAGATAACCCCACAGGGGAGGGGGAGGCACAGAGTTTCATCTTCCCAATTATAATGATAAGAACAGAAGATAGAAACTGCTTGGGTAAAACAGGGACCCCAAAACAGCAGTTAAAGAATGTCCTAGCTGAAGGCGTGAACTGCCAGAAGATAATTTTGCTTCTGCATTCCTTTTTATGTCTTCTCTTAAATGAGCACCTACCTAAAATCTGTACATAAGCATCTGTCTGAGACTGAGAGAAAGCATTCAGATCCCCTCTGGGTGCGTCAGGTGAATCTGTTACCAGGAGAATTTGGGGTAGGGTGGGGAGGGCTTTGAGGTCACCTAATGTTACTTTCTCCTCTGCCTTCAAGGTGGAACAGGAATTGTGGGAATTTTTTTCGATGTCAGATTTCCATATTCCGCATCCAGAAGAGCCTGGGGTCTAATTTGGTGGATAGCACTGTGCTGGCATGCTATAGGTCCTTTCCTCGTTGGATCTAGTGCCAGGTCTAGGTTCCAGACTCTTCGCACTAAAGCAGCACCTAGTCTCCTAGCTTACCCATAAGGACCAGTTTGTTTTTATTCCATTTCATCTTTTTTTACTTCGTGGATAAACTTGACTCGTCATCACATAGGTTTGGATACAAAATACCCCATTGATCACGTGTTAAAGACTTGACCTTGTGGTTTCACCACCACGAGTTGATTGCAACATTGAGAACATGTGACATTGTGGTATGTAAGTCCTTAGGTTACTGGGGACATAAACATAAAGGAGACTTGGGCAACAAAATTATATTCATTTTCTTTGCTTCTTGGAGTAACACGAACAGTTTACTCTGCCGCATGCTTCCTACAATGGGCATCTCGCATACCCTCCAACAAGAAACCCAAATCTTGGGTTGGAATGTCCAGAACTGTTATCCAAAACAACCCCCTTCAATACATTATTTGTATCAGGTATTTTCTTTCTTTCTTTTTTCTTTTTTTTTGTAACTTTTTCTTTTTCTTTATTTTTTTCCATTTATTTATTTATTTTTAATTAAAAATTTCCACCTCCTCCCTTCCTCCCATTTCCCTTCCCCCCCTCCCCCATTCCTTTTAGCTCCCTCTCCAGTTCAAAGAGCAGTCAGAGTTCCCTGCCCTGTGGGAAGTCCAAAGTCCTCCCTACTCCATCCAGGTCTAGGAAAGTGAGCATCCAAACAGACTAGGCTCCCACAAAGCCAGTACATGCAGGTATTTTCTATAATGATGAAAAGTCGCTAACACACCACTCATGCCGCTGCCTTCACTTCCTTAAATACGGAAGTAAAAGGACAACCATTCCTTCCTGAACACTGCCCAGTCCCTATGCATGCAATGTACCTTTGTATCTGCAAGGGCTCCCACACTGAAATGTCACTAAAATTCTAATTCTCTTTCATATTTTATTCTTACGAAATAGCAAGCATGGAAATCATTTCACGTTTTTGAAAAACTGAAAAGGTTAGTAACCACTCATTTCTCTTGATTTGCATATGAAAACAAACGGCTTTCGGGCTTGTGCAAAAATACAAGGATCTTTTAAAGAAAAACCATTTTCTTTTCCACAGCACTTCACATTTGTATTACCAAAAGTAACATAAAATTATACAGTCGGATACTTTAGCCATCTTTTTTTTTTTTTTTTTTTTTTTTGCTATTTGTGAAATACAGCAATTAGGATTGCAAACATTTCTTTCAAAATCTTGGGTTTTAAAAATGTGTTAAGATAATTTTCTTAAATGTGATATACTTATTTGCTTCTGCTTTCCTGCTGAGATGTGCCGTGAAGGTAAACAAACTTGATTCTCCCCAGTAACTAGATCTTAGAACAATTCAAAGCATTCATAAAACCCAGAGTTTTCAGTAACTCCAAATCCAACAGGCACGTTACTCCTCCCCACCGGAGAAAGGGGCACCCAGCTCATCTGACACCCCAGAGATCAGCCAGGATTGAGGAGCAGATATGCGTGCGGGGGGGGGGGGGGGGCACATCCTCAATGCGAAGTCTCTTCCTCACTACCTTTCAGATTCTGCTTCTGTTGATCTTTGCTGATCCTGATTCA